ATGCTTCGATCGCCTAGTAAATCGTGAAACGAACGAGACAGCGTCGTCTGAGACGACGGTCTCGGCAGTGAAAGATGAGACCGGCGCTTCGAAATATACGCCGCGAAATGCCACGGGAAAAATGCAACGATGCCCGCGTTGGACCACGACGGCTTCGACAACCCAAGCGGCCGCCGAACAGCGTCCGCGTCGGCTGCCACCGTCGCCAAGCCAAACCCCGAACCAGCCAAGCCAAACAGCCAAGCCCGAACCAGCCGAGCCCCCTGGAGCCCGAGCCAGCCCGAAACAGCCAGCCCCCCAATTCGCTACGAGGCGAATTCCCGAACCAGCCAAGCCCCCTGGAGGCGCGGCACTAGAACAACCACGGCGGGGCGCTGGACGAAAACGACCTTTGGGAGGGGCGCTGGACGAAAGCGACCCCAGCGGGCGCTGAACGAAAACAACGAAGCAGACTCAGAAGCGCAGAAGGGCGCCGGCGGCCAGGCGTGCCTGGATGTTGTTGTTCAAGCACACTGCTGGCCATAAGGTTGGATGCTTGCGGAAGACAAGCCTCCTGCCGGCGGCGGCACATGGTGCGGGCGCTTCTGGATTGAACGAGAAGGTACTCACTAGGCTGCGCTCCATGGCTGGCATGCTTGCCGGCGCTCGCCCAGCCGCTTCGTCGCTGACCTTGCACTCGGCCATGCAGCGGGAAGCAGAGCACGACCCAATGTTTGAGCCACTTGTGATGTGGTGATTCGGTATGCTGGTTGAATATGGGAGGCTCGTACCTCGCCGTCCCAGTTGCATCGCGCATGGCCAGCGATCGCAAGTACTATATTTATGCACACAAGCATATATACATAAATACATACATACATACATACATACATACATACATACATACATACATACATACATACATACATACATACATATATACATACATTCATTCATATATACATACATATATGCATGCATGCATGCATGCATGCATGCATGCATGCATGCATACATACATACATACATACATACATACATACATATATACATACATACATACATACACATACATACATACATACATACATACATACATGCATGCATGCATGCATGCATACATACATACATACATACATACATACGTACATACATACATACATACATACATACATACATACATACATACATACATACATACATACATACACATATACATACATACCTACATACATGCATGCATGCATACATACATACATACATACATACATACATATATACATACATACATACATACATACATACATACATACATACATACATACATACATACATACATACATACATACGCATAGCACGAGGCAGTCCATGCGGCATGCAAGGGATCCTAACGGCGCGACAACGCTCGGCCCATGGCACATTGTTTGGGACATGTAACATTATACTGCTCTTCCCTGGGATCAGCATGAATACATTTCCCAAGTTGCCACCGAGCCGAAGGATGCACGCAAGCTGCTTTGCCATGGCATCGCACGCCTCGCAAGAGGAGAAAAACTACCCTGGCGACGTACCCAACCCCTGCGCAAAAGCGGGGCGCAAATAGTTTATGATACTTTATAAGGGGGCGATGACGGAGCGAGGGTTACATATGTCTGCAGACGGAATTCGGGAGACTCGCAGGACACTGGCTACAGGAAAAGGGCTTGATAAAGCTGATGATTTACAATTCCTGAGCACTCCTAGCCACTTCGAAAACGGTGATCACAGCAGGCCTCGAAAGTGGCGACAGGTTACCAGATCGCAGCCGTAGCCCCGCAGTGATCGTGCGAGGTCTAATTGTTGGTCCGCGCGTGGCGTCACTTGTGCGAGGAAGCACTGGGCCCAGCATGGATCGAAAAGGTGGCGGAGCAGGTTTCACAGATCGCCTCGCAGGAGCCTCCATGGGATGCGGGGTCCTCTTTGAGATCCTGCCCTGTGGCGTACCGCGCTGGGCCCCCAGCAGCCTCGAAAGTTGTGCGACAAGAAAGCTATCGACAGATCGAGCCCATATGTGTGGGCGGGTCTCGTTGACTAATGCCCGTGGCGTAACTGTAGCTGGGCCCCCCAGCAGGCCTCGAATTGGGCGACGGTGTTCACAGTGACGTCGCGCTACCCCCAGAGATGGCAGGCGTCTAATTGTGAATCGCGCGCGTGGGCCCTCACTGTGCTAGGCCCCCCAGCAGGCCTCGAAAGTGGCGACAGTTTCACAGATCGCAGCCCCCAAGGGATGGCGAGGTCTCGTTTGAATCTGCCCGTGGCCCTCACTGTGCTGGGCCCCCCAGCAGGCCTCGAAAATGGCGACAGTTTCACAGATCGCAGCCCCCCAGGGATGGCGAGGTCTCATTTGAATCTGCCCGTGGCCCTCACTGTGCTGGGCCCCCCGGCAGGCCTCGAAAATGGCCACAGTTTCACAGATCGCACCCCCCCAGGGATGACGAGGTCTCATTTGAATCTGCCCGTGGCGTCACTGTGCTGGGCCCCCCAGCAGGCCTCGAAAATGGCGACAGTTTCACAGATCGCAGCC